CACTACCGCCACTACCACCACTACCACCACTACCACCACTACCACGCCCACTACCGCCACTACCACCACTACCACGCCCACTACCACCACTACCGCCACTACCGCCACTACCACCACTACCACCACTGCCACCACTACCACCACTACCACCACTACCACCACTACCGCCACTACCGCCACTACCGCCACAACCACCACTACCACACCCACTACCACCACTAGCACTACCTCTGGCAGCAGCGGTAACATTATTACTGTACTGGTATGATAGTGGTGGAAGTAGTGATCGTCGTTGTGGTGTTGGTGGTGGTACTGGTGGTGGTGGTGGAGCAGGAAAGAGAGTTCTTTGCATTGGCCAGGATGTGGACAGCGCCGAGCGCGGAGACTAGTTGCTATGATGACAGCAGATTGGAAGCCATGCTGCTCGCACAGTTGAGGCAGGGAATGGAGTCCTGAGCCGGAGCCATGTTTGATCGTCATCTTGTGCCAGCAGAAAGCATGGCATGCTTTGTATGAAATTGCAAGCAGCATGTACTTGCAGCTTGTAAGCTGGCGCCCTCTTAAATTTCAAGAGAGGGCTTAGGATGATTTCGAAGTCAATTCAGACCAAGAAAACCCAGGGCCAAATCAAAGCTGCATTGAAAAGAAAGTCATCTATCACAACATCAGCATTGAGTAGAACATTTGTTTAAAAGTCACGGCATACGAGCCTCGAGATCATATACAAAGAGCCGTAAAATGATGTGAGCATTGACTGGGTTTCCAGAGCCGTAAAGGCTGAGTTGCAAGCTGTTGTTCGTCGTTGGTTCGCAGCAATTGCGTTACCAGCCGAAAGTTGGCTGCGGTCCCCTGTTTCGCAGCAACTGCGTTACCTGCCGAAAGCACAGTATTCGGTTTGGGAATTTGATTCGAACATATCAAACCAGAACGGGACTGAAGAACGGTGGCCCTTGGCAAGAGCTTCAACAGAAAAAGAGCAGCGTGCGGATGCGTCTGTATGGCAGGTCAGGCCTGTGGCTCGGTGCTGGCTTCTCCTTAGCTTTACACCGACATGATAGCAAAGTCATAGTTAGCAATTACGGGGAAATCAGCACTCTTTTAAACTTACCTGGGTTGGGTTAAGCGGAGATCCAGCAGCTCGGTCGCCGGGAAACCTGTATGAATATTTCTTGATATTCAGGCGGTTCGGGCCCACTTTTCCCAACATTGGGCCATGCTTCAGACGCAAGGGCAAAAGGTAAGACTCGGGGTGGTCGCTACAACCCCTTCTGTTTCTAGGCACTACAGAACAGTCAGGCAGACTTCGCTCCCACACCGGTAAGCACCAAGCAATGTAAGCTGAACGTTTCTTTGGAAGCATCAGCTTACCTAAGCATGCTGAATCCATCTACATTCTGAATGCCCTGAGGGTGCCAGATCCAGTGGCACCGTTTGAGGATATTGCCGCAACTAAGTCACACCTAGGGAAACTTTAGACCTTATTGAAAAATGCTGAATGAGCACATCGCTAGACTCCCATTGTCGGCAAGTAAGTCTCCAGGTTTTGCAGGCCTTGATGTGTGATATCTCTATCGCCACCTTCATCGACCCTGTTCTTGCTCCAGAATAGTACTGGATTGGGCACAAAGATGTGACACGCGCCTGAAGAACTACCGATACTACAACCCTCATAATCCGAACTTGTAACTAGGTTGTTCGCTTCCCCAACACCTCATGGAAATTGTTCATGCCCATGTTAGTTCTTATCTAAGTATATTGCAGTTTAAGATTCAATGAGAAATATCCACGCCCGATCTGGTGATTTGGAGGGCAAAAATCATGGCCAGCAGTGACAACGACTGGACGCCTCCGAACCCGTTCGCATACCTGATGCTTGCTTGCTCACGCAATTTAGGGCTGATATGTTTTAGCGGGTTTGCAGGTGAGTTCCGGGCCTGAGGCGTCTTGACATTTGTGGTTTTCCAGTGAACATTTGCAACTCGGAACGTTGAATAATGGGAGTGTGGGGCTTCCGGCTGAGTGAGGATTTGGATTTCGTGTTTTCGGGAGTATGTTTCGTGGGGGGTACTCCTCCACCGTTTCTTGGCGTCCTATTCGTCTAGTTAGTTCTTGCAGTCAAGGAGGGGGCTGCCAACCCTGGGACTTAAGTTCTGAACTCACAATCCCTTCCGAAGTAAATTGAATTCCCTCTTAGCTGGAGCTGGATCTTCAGGAAATGCTTTGTGCTCACGGGCTTGGGTCTGGTTCCTTTCCTGGCCTTGCTTACACGAGAGACGGAAGATTCAGACTTCAGAGCCTGCACGAAAGACCAGGACTGCTTCTTCGTGCGGTTTCCCAGCCTGGTTCGCAGTGTCATTCTGGCTAACTACGAGGTCCCAAAATCTGTGGTACAGGTCAAGGGGTTGGGCTCTAGTGATTAGTGGCTTCCAGGATGAGCAGCACTCACAAGATATTCAAGGAAATATCAAGTGCAAATGAGGTATGCCGGTGTTCCAAGCTTGCCTTCAACAGCTGTCATCAATGTCGAGAACAGCACCGGCATTCGCACAGATTGGTGGCCCTGCTTTCCGTTGCGTCTTGGACGTGTCTGTGAGTGCTGTACTCGTTGAATTTGATACTGCTTGCGTTTTACCACTTGTGAATGCTTGATCCTCCCCTCATTGACGACAATATTCAACGACACTGAAGGTTTGTGTCAGTCGAGACTGGACAGCAGCTACGCGCAAGCTACCCGCCGATTCGATCACCAAAAGAATGGTTCCTTCATCCTGGAGCAATATACGCGTCGGGTCCATATCTGCACCTTGGCCTCCCAGCCCCATAATTGATGAGCATATCATATCCTACTCACTAACTTCATTCCAGCTGACAGATACTTTGTTGATGTATTGCTGTGTTGGTAACACATGTAAGTCCCGAACCTTCTGTTCGGCTCATGGAGAAGAATGGCCCGACAGGCGTCATAGGACTTGCGCATAGTCAAACGTAGCAAGTTCTTCTGACGGTTCTCCCTCACTGTAGCGTAGCATGAAACCCCGCATGAGTCAGGAATGGTTTAGATCCACGACAAAGAATTGCGATGGACACCGGCTTACAAAGTATGAAATGATGCTGCAGACTCTGATGGAGCAGAGTAAACACATCGTAGAACGATTCACTAGTACCTGGTTGCAGAGCATTACACGGAGCGCATTGCCACAGGGCAAGCTTTGGCTGAGCCTGCTATTTGGTAATATTACATCATCCAGCCCCAGCCCACTTTTTCCTAAAGTACTTCGCTGGGGGTCAGGTATACTGCTATGGTGCTAAAGTGGGACAACTCTGGATACCATGCCTTCGCGAGCTCTGAACGCGCTACGGAGGAGGAATGTGCAAATCCAAAAATTCGTGCGAACATAGATACTGGGCTGAGGAGTTGATTTGTTCGAGCAATGTAGGCCAGGATTTGTTGGGCTTGAAGATGAGGGCCAATGGATCGCCATGCATTAAGCCAAGGAAAATCACCTGATGAAAGGCAAGGTTCGACACACCTACCTAATCGGCATCTTACTGTGGGCTGCCTGCAGCCTCGCTCATGACTTTGCGCTGCTGCGGGGCGTGGCAGAGCACGTCGCGCTGAAGATGCTTGAGCACTGATCAGATACCTTCTGTAGTTTCCCTGCACGCGTCTTTGACAAGGCTTCTTAGACCAGCTAAGGATCGGGCTTGCAGTTTTCTGTTGCCAAATTGTGACGTGTGTGGCGGCCTTTGTGTGGGGCACTGGTGCTGCTGAAGTATTTAGAAGTGGGGAGTGTGACCTGGACCCTCACCCAGGTTTTGTTTGAATGCTTGTAACGCAGGAAGTTGAACGGAATTAATACTTAATTAGTAGGATTGGCCGGCGCAGTTTTGCTAAAGCCCGGTTCGCTTCCTGTTTAAGTTCGGCTTGAGAACCCACGCGAGGTTATTACCGGCTGAAGACACTGATCACTCTGGCAGTGGTGATTCCCCCGTTCCTGCTATTGGTTGCGGCTGAACGCAAGTATCAACGATTTGTGCTATCAGTGTGCCATGGTGACTACTTGTATTCAGTGCAGTATAGCGTGCCTTTCAGGGCTGCCAAGTCCACACTGCCTCACGACCCATCTGCGACACTGTTGACGCCATCCTTACGTGGTGACGGTGGCCAAGATACACACGACTGTCCACCACCACCGCTGTCATTTTCGGAGATTCGTGATATGGAAACTCTGCTGCTCTTCCTGATGCCATTTTGTTTTGAATTGTTTGCTCTTTTGCTTTTGCAGTTTTGCATGATCCGCATCGCATAGTCCTAGACCCGAGACCCTAGAATGAACATCTGAACCCAATTCGTTCGCCTGGCGGGACGGGGATGAAGGAACGGCTGATGTCTTTCATCTATGCATTCTGGTGTGCGGCGCAGCACCTTATCATTGCTCCCTTCGCTGTAGGTCCACTCTTTCGAAGGATAGTGCAACCTAGCAGATCAGCAAGGATTTGAGTTTTAGGGCTTCATGGTTCTAGTGCTTGTGGAGTTGCAGCTGGTGGAGTTTTCCCTGTCTTCCCTGTCTTCCCTTACCCAAACCAAGAGGACCAGCGCGTAATTCTTGCACTTGCTGTGCATGCCCTGCTCAGGCTTGGGTGTAGAGCCGGTGTTGACACCCCCATTTGCGCTAATCGTTTGTGCTACTAAGTTGAGTTGATAAACCTTCAAGGCAAGTTTCATTCTCCTGGAACTGGTCCACAAAAGCAACGGGCATCCTGAAGATGGCGGTTGCCGGAATGCTGTTCTCATCTGCTCTTGCCGGTTTCTATCCTGCATTCCGTGTCTGCCGATCTCATCCGACCAATTGTTCCAGCGAGAAGGAGCGAGACTACGCTACGGAAGACCTTGCAACTTGTGCAAGGAGATTGGCAACGCGAATGATCAATCTGTTTGCCTTGTGTGTGGGACCCATCTTCGGCCTAGGTGCATTATGGAAGCTGTACGGCTTCTTGGCAAGACGTTCGATCACCGGAAGTTTGCTTGACGACAGTTGGCAGTGGTATTTGCACGGGACTTCTACCTATATGTTCGCATGGCTCTCTTGCTCCATGTTGCCATTCTTCAAGGACTCAACGATCATGTTGAGAGCCCGCACGCTACGTCTCGACTTTGACTTGGACAGCCGGTCCTTGCGGGAAGTGGTTGAACGCCATCCAGATTGGCAGATGTTGCCGTACCTGTCAAACGACTTGCGGGATGGCACTAAACTTCAGACCTTTCGAGAGATGCTGGAAGATGATGATGAAAACCAATCACATGTGCAGCAACAAGTATGGCCAATTGCCTACACGAGACACTCAGAGATCTCAGAAATGGACACACAGCGGTCATTTCAAAGCACTATTGATTCCTGGGCTTAGAACCGGCCCAATAATAACTTGGTTGCGTGTTCCTCTGCAAAGCAGATGCGCTGCTGTCATGGCCCTGCAAAGAGGGGCCCAACGCAATTCATAAGCATCTAAAATGCTTGATCGTCCAGGCAGCTCGGCCAATTTGACCTGCCTTAAGACCTTGTGCCTACGTCATACAAAATATGGGCTGCGGACTAGAATGATCAAGAAAGAAATCTCATGAGCTAAATATTAAAATTATAACGCTGGGAGATTGATATAATACTGAAATAGACAGGAAGAAAAAACTTATAATCTCGATTGAATAGGATATTTATTTGCCATAATTTTTTGAGAATATAATTATTCGGATATGATTCGTTTCTATATATGCCATGATATTTACTTCATTTATTATTAGGAGAGATATAGAATATGATATATAACCTATATATATAATTTATTTTGCTATCGTATTCATTATCTAGAAATATAGGAGGATAAGAAATTATTAGAAAAAATATAAAATATTTCTCTATAAAACTATTTTTTCTGGATCCTTCATATTTCTAGAGAATTTTGGGAAAGAGAGAATTGATATGAATAAATATCGTAGTATATAAAATTTAGATAATCGGCGTAGATTCTTTTAAGATTATATTTTATAAATGAAAAATATATTCATTTATGAATCGAAATATTGATAGGTCGTTATATTTGAAAATGATTTGAAAAAGATCTTATTTTCAAATATTATAGATATATCTTGATTTATTATGAATATTTATTTGGTATATTTCAATATTATGTCACGACCGCTTGCGAGCAATTTGATTGCATACGATTTACCTTTTCTCATTTACTTCTAAAATTCTTGCTGAGGGCTTCCTAGAGATTCTTAAATATCGGAGATTTTAAAGCTCTTCGGAAAAACTAGAAATTCTAAAATTTCCGAGATTTTTGGTGCGTGGCTGCTCGGCGGAATATTCTGACCCAAGATAATCGTATTTATTATAGAATCTCCGTATCCGCCGCATAACAATTAATTAGCCTAAGAAGGAAAAAAGGAATAGAAATTATGGGTTGGAGATTTTGGACCGCACGACGAAAAAAAAAATCTCACGAGATTTCGGGTCATTTCTTTCTCTTTGATTATCTACGGTCCTTGCCTCGTAGAGCGGCCTTCCGCGTAATTCATTTCGTTTTAGATATATACGCGATTGGTCGAGAAAATATGAAGATTTACGACAGAGAATCCAAATCTTTCCCAATTTATATATTCATCGCGATTATCCGCGGGCACGCATGCACTCCTCCGATCTTTCGCGCACCAATTAATCCAAGAGAAATAAATGAAACGGAATGATCGCCCCAGAGATTTTTGACCGCATACCAAAAATTTCCCGAGATTTCGAATCATTTCTTTCTCTTTGGCTATTTATGCAGCGACTTGGCAGCATTCATAGATCCAAGATGGAGAATTAAGATCTTTCAGAATCTATAGATGAGCCATTTTCCAGAAATCTTCAAGCTAAGTCTCAGGTCTTTAAGCTTCGCAGCAAAAGTCAGATAATGCGGCAATCTTCAGGATTTCGACGAGCTTGGCGCCGCAGAAGGCTCCGTATTTACATATCTTGCAATAATAAACCCTCTGGCGGATTTTTCATTGCCGAGAGGGAATTGGGGGGAAAACGATACGCAGATATATTATAGGATAACCGGCAAAGAAGATTTTTTTTTCTAAATCATTAGGATTTAATGACGATCTGGCATCTCTTGGGCAAATTCCTTCAGATTTACGAGAATCTGACGAATTTCAGAAGAATGATCAACGATAATATTCCCCGCATTTAGCAAATTCTTATAGAATGATCTGATGATGCTCTCCCTTTTGAAATATTAAGGGAATAGAGACTCCAGATCTATCAAATCAGGGAAATAGAACCACGTCAAGAGACGGATTTCGAATTGAAATTAGAATTTCATAGATCCGTAGAAGATTATACGTATAGCCACACATAGAATGGGAGATAGAAATAGACCGCAAGAGATTGCATCCGAAAAAATTATCAGATTCTGAAACGTCTGTCCAAATCCTTGGGCTCCAATCTATAAGTCCGTCCCTCCAGGAATATTTCGAGACGGGCCCTTGCTTCTTGGAGGAATATCTTCAAAATGCCAACGCATGCGCAGGATGCGGGATATCAAATTGAGAGGAAATAGGATTAGGAATTCTAGATATTGCTTTGTTTTCTTGCATATCAATTGGCTTGTCGTTAAGCGCATGCTCCGCTGCTGTAAGCAGCGGGTCCACCCTAGTTCTCTATTAAATTAAATAATATTGATATCCTCTTTATTATTCATATTTCTTGAATATATAATCGAAAGCTGGAAATACGATGAATAGAATTTGAAAGGAACTAGTTCTTTATATTTCTCTTGAATAGAGGAATCTTCCTCGTCGATTCTAGATTGAAATAGATTAATGTATTTAATGGATCCTTATAATTCCTAATGATATGATAGAATTAATGATATGATAGAATTTATTGTATAATTAGAAATTTCTTATTTATTGGATCTCATTAATATGAGAAATTCTGATTATTCATGATTTAGATAATGATTATTATATTCTATTTTTTGAGGATGATGAATTTATATTTAGCTATATATTAGAACTGACTCGCTGTTTGTAGCCGCGGAAAATATTTAATTGAGAATATATATAACTGCAAATCTGATGAATAATATAGAAGATCGCGCGTGAAAATTTGAAAAATTAATATATAAGATCTCATGTGACAAAAACGGCCAACGTATAGATTCTGAAAGATTTTGGATCTCCGCCCCGAGCCTACACGTTCCACTGAGCTGCAGCGCAGACAACCAAAGAGAGAGATTTGGTCCGAAATCTTGGGAGATTTTTTGGTCGCGCGGCTTCCGCATCCGGCCCGGTCTTTCCGCCTCATTTATCTCTCTTTGACTATCTGCGCGGCGGCTCGGGGGAGCGCATAAAATCGGTGCGGACACGCACGGCCAACCTATAGATTCTAAAAGATTTTGGTTTTCCGTCTCGGGTTTATGCGCTCCGCTGAGCAGCCACGCACGCACCCAAATAGAGAGATAATTCGCGCGAAAAACCGCTCCGGGGGGAAGGGCCGCGCAACCAAAAATCTCGGAGATTTTTGGTCGCACCGCCCGCGCCAAAAAATCTCCGCGATTTTAGAGCCTCTAACTTTTCCGAAGGGCTCTAAAATCTCCGAGGTTTTAGAGCCCCTAGGGAGCCCGCAGGAGGCATTTTAAAGGTGAGCCGGAAAACCTATGCCGCGCGCGAGCGAATTGACCGCAAGTCGCCGCGCTGTAATATTGAGGTATATAATATTTTAGAGATGATATTATCTATATTGATTATATCAGAAAATCATTTCTGATCATATTATCTCTATTTTCTAAATCTCTTTTATTATATTTCCAGCGAGTTTCCTAGAGATTTTAGAATATCTAAAAATTTAGATCCTTTCGGATGATTTAGAAATTTGAAAGTATTTTCAATTATTTTGAATTTTTCAGATTCGGAAAGATAGAAATGACTACTAATCAATCTATCAATTGGAGATATCTTCATGATGTTAAATCTATCTATCATTTATATGTTCGAATTAAGTTCCCATTTCATGATTTATATATATTAGATTTGATGACTTATTTCTCATTGAATTATATTCATGCCCGTATAAAAAGTGATTTGCACATATTATTCGATTTTTTTATCATCTATGAACCTACCTATTAATTCTAATGATTTGAGATTTTATGATCTGTTTATATTCAGCATATCGTCACTTATCGGAATTGCTAGCAGATATGATTCTTCAAATGATTTTTTTCATCTTAAATTAAAGGGCTATTCTAGGTTATGATGATATTATAAAATAGAATATAAATTAAATATAGAATTTCATGAGAAGTTATGAGCTCATTATAGAAAATCTATATATAGATATATACTTATTTGCAACCGTGATATTCGCGCAGGATCTAACTTTTCCAATTCTCTACTAAAACCTCTCCGACAGCTATCCTAGAATCTTCTTGATATTCTAGATCTCTTTGGAAGAGATAGAGGCTCTAAAATCTCTCAGATTTTGGATCCGGGGAAGATGATCAAAGATTTCGGAAATTATTTTGATATGTAAATATCCTCTCTTTATATCCTTCTATTCTTCATATAGCTCTCATTTCTGATTGACAGGGCAACGCCATCGCCCCAGATCTGCGTAATTTTATCAATCTATCTCCCATTCTATCATCTATTGGTATATCGGAGAATCGAATTGAAGGTCAGGCAATTAGGATATCAATCTGTCGATCTCTCCGTATTTCGAATCGTCTTCCGATGGTCTATCAATCTCCCCAAGTTTTGATTTATGAATCTATCAATTGATCTATTAATTTGCGGATCTGATCTTCTATCTTCTGTCGAATCTATCGATCTTTCATTCTATCGATCTTATCTTCTCTGGAATCTGCTTATTTATCTGCGCGTCAATCTCCCGATCTTTCAATTTATCAATCTATCTGATAAGCGATCTGAGAAGGAAGCTCCGTCGAACAAATAAATCTATCAATTTCTAATTTATCAATCTATCGACGAGCTTGCCGGGGAGAAATTCCATCTATCTCTGGATCTCTTGGATTTATGAATCTCGTCATCTATCCACTTATATTCATATCTATATATTACTTTGATGATCTATCTATCGTCGAATTTATTGCTCTCATAATTGGGGTTCATATTCATTAACATATGATTTTTCTCAATCTATCAAGTCTGTCTAGCGATCTGTTATTATCTGATCTTATCGTCTGTCGGATTCATCAATAGGGAAATTTATCGATCGGATATTTCGTATAATTATAAGAATTAGGATAATATATATTTCAATGAATCTTCATCGAAATATTTCTGAAAAAAGAGAGAGAATAACAATTTCAAAGATAAGAAAATTTCTATCTAGGATATGATT